GGCCTCTTGAGTTTGGGGAACAGCCAGAAGTCGCAAGGAGCCATATCAACTTGTGTACCAGCTTGAGTGTGGAAGTGATCAGAATTGTAAAGAAGCTTGATAAAGAAACATGAAAATGATCCTCAAATCAAACGTTTGGAAAATTGATACAAAATCAACAAATCAAAAAATGCTACATTAAATTCAATCAATAGATGTTGATGAGCAAGATTATATAAAGTTGTGTGTGTTTAATGGTGTCATGTTTTTAAGGAACAGGGAATCAACAATTATGCATGAAGTAAATCTATTTATCATGTGTTTTCTAAATACATTCTGTTATTTTTTAATCTTTTCATTAACAGTATTGGTTAAATTGTTTGATAGATATGATGATGTGTTTACTTGTATCATAAGATTATTTTCACATTTAGCTTAGTATACAGATTTAGGACTAACATAAGTTCCCTGGCCAAATTTTGTAAGGTATTATTGAGATTAAGGTAAAAAATGACAGAGGGTATCCAACTGGTGAGCCATTGCATTCTTATCCTTATAAATAATAATGGTATATTAAATTAGCTGTATCTAGTATTGAGTTAATTTTTAGTTTTGATCTGTGTAGGTAGCTTGCTTTGATAAGAGTTAATGATAATTATGAAAAATTGACATGTAATTGTTAAAAAAGGGAGAGCTTGTAGCTAAAAGCTAAGAAATGTAATTCTCTCTCCTCCCTAGTTCTTATTGTTCCTTGGCCTGACATGGCCAGGTGGATAGGGTGTTTGACCTGTGGATCATCAGTTTGAAACCCCGTCCCACCAAATATGCTTGCCCTTTCAGCAGTGGGAGCATTATAATGTGACAGTCAATCCCACAAGAGTTGGCAGTGAAGACTAGCTATCTCTTCTGTAGTCTTTCACTGCTAAATTAGGGATGGCTAGAGCAGATAGCACTTGAGAAGCTTTGTGCAAAATTCTGATGAAACCAAACTAATTGTTTCCTTTTTTACATGTGTGTGTGTGTGTTGGGGATATCCCATTGACCAGAGATATTACCACAGGCATTACCTGGATTGACAACGGATTCTTTACTAAAATCTTCTTCATGCTTATTTTATATTAAGTTCATTATTGTTTAATAGTGTTGATTTTAATCGCCTATTAACAATTAATGTAATTAATAGTATTGAAGCTATTTATTTCATTATATATATATTTAGAACAAGTTTTTATTTTCAAAGTGATTTTTAATTCTGCATGTGTTTACCCACACTTGCTGTTTTGTTTGGTTTAAAGTCCATCATACATAACTAAGGCTAAATAAACTTGATGGATTTAGCTAGCTTGAGGTACAGATATTTGAATGTGTCTCCTACAGCTTATTTTGAGATGTCTAGATATTTGAAGGTGTCTCCTACAGTTTATTTTGTGATGTCTAGATATTTGAAGGTGTCTCCTACAGTTTATTTTGTGATGTTTACATATTTAAAGGTGTCTCCTACAATTTATTGTGAGATGTCCAGATATTTGAAGGTATCTCCTACAGCTTATTTTGAGATGTCTAGATTATTGAAGGTGTCTCTTACAGTTTATTGTGAGATGTCCAGATATTTGAAGGTGTCTCCAACAGTATTTTGAGATGTCTTTCGAGCAAGAGGTTCAAATAAGAACTAAAATTCAACACAACAGAGTATACAGTATCTGTGATAACTTAATTTGTTGTCAATTTTGTTCACACTACATGTATGTACATACTTTTTGTTAGCACTATCTATATTAGAAAGTAGGCAGACTGGTTACCATTACTTTGTTAGTTGCTTATATAAAATGTACAAGTAGAATTGTATATTTTGGTCATCAGATTCCACCTCCGCAAAGTCTGTCTGGATCCATGAAGGAGTTGTTTGTGCACCAGGAAAAGGAACGTTATAAACTCCGATTGCAACACCTCATAGAAAGAGTAAGTTTTGTTTACACTGCATCGTTGCATTTATTACAGAGTTGTTGTTTTTTCTTCCTCAAGGGAGGTAATGGTAAAGATAACGTAGATCCTTGTAGCAAGTTTATTTTGTTTTTTTAATTTTAAAACTTTGTACTGGTGTGTGTGTGTTGAGAAAATCTTGGAATTATTCTCTAAAATATTAATTTGTAACTTCAAGTTGCATAAACTTTGGAACTTGCTATACTTTTCATGCTTAATGTTCTGTTAATTGTTGCTCAGCTTAATAAGCAAGTTTTTGTATGTGGTTAAAATGAATTGTTATATTTTTTCAGGAAAAACTTGTATTATCAGCAGAACAAGAAATTCTGAGAGTTCATGGTAGAGCTGCAAGAGCAATGGTCAACCAGTCTGTTCCTCTTTCTGTATGTTCTGTCCTGAAAGATGAGGAAATTTACAATGTACTGGATTCTGAACATGTGAGTTTCTAAACTGAAGTTAATCCCTTCATGGCTGGTCTATTTCCCAAGACATTAAGGGAGTGTCTTGAAATTTTGTGCTTATCTTACTTGTTAATCATCATCTTTTGTATCAATAATCATGTTTTTTGTTAGTTGCACTGATTAACACTTGTTATTCATTTAAAATACTTATGAATAAACAAAGAAAAAAGTACAAAAGTTATTTAGTAATTTAAAGAAATTCCAAAACACACTTTGAATAATTGCAGCATATTGGATCATTTGTTTATGTATAGTAGTATGTTTTATCATTTCAACTCATGCTATAAACAAAAATCTGACTCAGAATTTTCAAATCATTGCAGAACATGTATGAATTACCCATAATTCTCCACTCTGCCACCTTCCTCTTGACTTATTGCACGAACATCATGGTCTTTTACATAATCTCTTCGTTTCTGCCATAATTTAGATTTTCTTTTTGCATTTGTTACAATGCTCTTTCTGGTGCAACTGGAAGCCTTTCTTACACAAGTTTCCTGTAGTGTACAGGGTAACCTTGTTGATGCATTGTTAGCCCTGATTGTTTAATATATTTGTGCCACTGTATATTGGTATTCCTGGCAGGTATCACAATCCTGTAGATGCTTAATTTGCTTAACACTCAACATTTCCTTTTGTTTCTGGATGAAGGTTGATGTTTTACTTTGGCTTAATCACCTTCAGAGCTGGATTTGTCTACAATAGTGCTAGCCCAAATCTTATTTTGTTCACTCTCAGGTATTTAATTTCATTACTGAACCTATTTATGTCAAACCAGAGAGTGCTTTTCTGTCTTGTGAATTATGGTGGGAAGACAGAAGTTATATAAGATCGCCCACTTGGGTGGAAGAGTAAAAAACCTTTGGATAGGTCATGCATTTTCTCAATACCTAAAGGATTTGGAAATTCTGAAGTGCAATTTTTTGTTGACAGCATAAGTTCAGACTATTGAAGAAAGGCTTTCAGTATTTCAGAGGTAAGTTCCAGTTTGAAATTCATTTTTAATTTTAAAATTGTGAAACTTAACTTTTTCTGTGGCTATACACCAGGGTAGCAGAACATCCAAAATCTTTGGGGCACGCAACACACCTTCCAGAAGTGTGTAGGACTAGGGAAGTGGGGGTGTAAAGTCAAGTTCTTCCATTTCATGGTTTCTCTACAGTGAAGAATAAAAACAACACATCCAATTTAATGCTGGTGCCAGAAAGAGCATGTATAAGATGCTTTCTAAGCCCTCACTGCAAAGTAGAATGGAGTATATTGGTTTGCTCTATACATCCATCTTGATCATATGGAAAGGATATACCAAGATTGATGGATGGATTTTGACCAAACTCATACAACAGGTAGTTAACTTTTGAAGGTCATAGATCAAAGTAAGGACATGGGTGTTTCATTAACACAGTTTTTATTTTTTTATGTACATTGATGTGGCATTTCAACACATCTTGCTCTAAACTTATTCAAAACATCGTGTTGATGAGTATACTTGATAAGTAAAAATTAACTCTACATATTCAAAAACTGTTGCACTGATGATCTACTGAAATTTATGTTGTGGATGGCTGACGTGGGAATGTTCTTGTTGGCTGTATAGTAAAGTCTTTAGGACCAAATCCATCAGTGCTCAATGTGGGTACGTGTGCATGTATTTTGTTTTTAATTCTTATATTTATTTATTTATAAATACTTCTAAGTGTAGTTTACTGAAGAATTAACACAAGATAGTTTTTAAAGTTGTTTGACTTCGTCATGTTATTTTGCCCTGTGCAGTTAATATTTTTAAGACCTTAGTTATGTTAGATGATGCAATTAAAATGAATTCATGTTATAGAAACTACAATATGGGAAATTATACCTAATAATACATGTCTTATAAGGCTTGATGTAGCACACTTTTTCTCTCTCTCTTCAGGAAGATAAAGATAAACATGTACGTTCACGCTACAATGGACGTCTGTTTTTATCATGGTTGCAAGATGTTGATGACAAATGGGAAAAAATTAAGGTAAGGTGATTAATTTCTGTTAAACGTTTTTGTTGTTTTTTTTATAGAAATTTCTGCTAATTGAAGATTCTCTGTTAATTATGGGAAATACTGTATTTGAACTTGAAGTTCAAAGCATGATTTAAAGTCAGTATTCATTGTTGTTTTAAGTATTTTATCTGTTATAAATCATGACCTAGAAAATAATAGCTGAACAGAACCAGACAGGAAATTGGGAAGTCAGTAAAAGTATATAAATAAAAAGTTGGCTGAAAATGTAAATATTAATAGTAAGAATTTCTTCAAATATATTAAGCGTAAGCAAAATGTGAAGTTAGGGTGGGAGTAGGGCCTTGGAGGGATTGATTCCAGAAGGCTAATATCTGATGATTATGGGATGACTGGGTTATTAAATTCTGCTTTTTTTAAACAATATTCCTCATCTTGAACAGTCCTAGTTGGAAACAAGATGATCACATTAATTCTGAGCTTGTTAAGAAAAAATTGGGAAGTTTAAAGAATGATAAAGCTCCTGAGCCAGATAATTTTCACCCAAGTTGTTGAAAGAGGGTAAGAATCAGACATGTGAGCCACTTACTGTTTTCTAAGTCCTTGAATAAGTGGACAAGTGCCAGAAGATTGAAGTTGGCTAGCACTACTTCTTTTTTCAAGGAAGGTTGTGAGAATTATCCCAGTAATTATAAAACAGTGTACAAAATTATGCTTAGTGGTTGTTGAAAAAAATAAAAAGAATTATGTTATAGGTTAAACCACTAAGGTGTTAATGTATATATAATTGTGGATACAATGTCTCAGGCAATGCTCTTCTTCAGGTATCACTAACTGAACAGTAAATTCGTAAACAAAAACATTCTAAATTGAAGGTTGTGTGACATGACAATGTAACAAATATACGTGTATAACAATGCTTACAAACAATTGAAACAATAGAAAGTGATAAATATATATATATATATATG